CACAGGATCCTGAAAACTCAAGACCTTTGCTATTTTGAGGGAAAGTTGTGTATATTTCTAAAAAGCATTGTCTCATGTGACTGTTATAGAAGTGTTTACACTCATGGCATTTCTAAGTTAAAGTGAGCACTAAATGTATTGCACATTGTCTAATGTGTTTCTGTCTGACTCCTCCAGAAACCAGCTAACATCCTTGTGATGGGGGAAGGTCCTGAACGAGGAAGAGTTAAAATCGGTAAGACTGTTGGTATATAATAGAAATCACCATCGCTATGACAGTGGAACAGTGAGGCTTTTGACTTGTTTGAGTGTCCAATAGCTGCAGCGTTTAACCTTCTCTGAGAGGTCTACAAGGACCTTAGATCAGTAGTAGATCAGTGCTGTTACATAAGCCAGCTGGCCAGGGGACTGTTCAAGAGTGACACTGCAATGCTGGAGTCTATTTTTAAACCTTGTGTGTCTAGTAATAGTAGTAATTTACTATTTTAGTGCAACTAGACCCCTCTACAACTGGTACGGATGAGAGGTTCTCTGCACTGAGTGACTGTTGATGCACAGGGCTGCTCCAACAACAGGAAGTTCAGTCGATCACTGTTCACACAGAAAACTTAATATAAAGATGCAAAAGTTACAGCAGGGACAGCAGAGCCAAGTTCACCTCTCTCTGGGAGACTCACTCATTTCTATTTGGAAGACCGTTGTAGATTTGAGCTGTTGCTTCCCGGCAGACAAAGGCATATTCCCAAAAAACAGTTTTAGCCAGAACCAGAGGCTAGGTTTGATCAGGCATATATGAATGCACAGTGAAACAAGGCACTGAAGAAATAATGAAATTGGTTAACGTGTTTTCCATGTTAATGGTAGTATAACTAAAATATCTTTAGGTATTCCTTTCAGCCTACATACAGTATAGCCCCAACAATCTCCACCGGCAAGGGCAGGGCAGCTTGCATGCAATCTGACAGGAAAAACCCAGGGTAAAAGAAGTCTGCAGAGCACTGGCAGCAGCACCACTCATAGCTGCTCCTTAAGCAGATTGCTGAGTAGATGGTATGTAACTGAAGGCCACTTGGATAACTGAATCAACATTTTACCCACCCCTCTCTTTGCTCAGCTGGATGTTGGTGGCTGGGCAGTCAGGGGACACTGCTTAAAGAGTTTAGTAATAAAATCAACCTGATAAAACTAAAGAGGGGGCTGCCCCCTCCACCCAGAGTGCATATTACACCTTTTGCTGAAGTGTGTGTGTATATAACTAGATAAGGCAGTTTTAGTCCATAGCATTTGACAGAATTTTGCAATAATTTTTCTTTTTTATAGTAAATAATTTTAACTAATCAATTTCTTTGCATCATCATTGTCTGCACTTTTAATGTGTTAGTAAATTCTCCTTATAATACATTTTCTCTGTGTCAGGCTCAGCGCAAAAGGCTGCCAAGGAGCGAGGGTGAACTCAGTTATAAAGCCAGACGATTGAAAGTAAAAACACCATCTCTTTAATAAGAGCACTGACAATGAACAAAAAAAACAGTACAAGACATGGGTTAAACATGAAACACACTTACAGGTCGATAATACAGACCAGGGTCAGAACCAGCAAACACATACATCCAAGGATCCAAATGAGATGTCAGAAAGGGAAGTCTGATAATCCATACACCGAAAATAGTCTGAATAGGGGGACAAGGCAATAAACAGTGGTCCAAGGTCAAAAACAGGAAATACGGTAAACAAGAGTAATGCTGGAAAGTGTGTCATGGGTTAGAACAATCTGACTGCTGCCCGATGGGAGTCAGCTGCCTAAATAGGGGTGAAAACAGGTGCAAACAATCAGAAGCAGGTGAAAACAATGAGTGCTGATTAAAGTAAAAAGTCCGAAACTGAGATGAAACAAAAGCAGGACGTAATGTCAAAATAAAAGCACAAGAATGGAAACATGTGGGACAGAATCATGACACTCTGATTTATGTGTTCTCTGATATAACTCATATACTAACAACAGAATTTTTTTTCTTAAATATTTCACACAAATAAAATAAACTTAAAAAATAAAATGTTTTTGCAGAATAACACTGAGTAAGATTCAAGGACTAGTTTAAAGAATAAACTACATGGTAGCTATACCCTACAGTTTGTTAAGTGTTATGATCAATTGAGAGCTGCTCTTCAATGTTACTCTTACAGCTGTAAATAAGCCATGTGATAAATGTGTCATTTTAGCCAAGAGGCTTTTTTAGTCCTGTGTTGGGCCTTTATAGCATCTTGAAGTGTGATCCTTATGTTTGATAAATACTGGCTGGTCCAGAATACCTCTTGGGCAAATAGAGAGAGTATCTGACTAAGATGTTGATTTAAGCTCAAACTGTGACTTGTTGCAGGTTTAGCTGTGGTATTGGCCCTGAAACCACACCATGTTATCTTTGTTTGACAACTGAATTTGTCTTCTCTTCCCACCTCCTATAGCTGACATGGGTTTTGCCAGACTCTTCAACTCTCCCCTCAAGCCGCTGGCGGACCTTGACCCTGTGGTGGTGACATTCTGGTACAGGGCCCCTGAGCTTCTGCTGGGGGCTCGGCATTATACCAAAGCTATCGGTGAGTCTGGGGGCATGAACGTACAACTCTTATCACAAACTCAGGCCTTTGATACCTTATTCTTTGCTTTACTGAAGCAGGTTTATGCATATTTGTGTTAAATGATATTTATGGATCCAGACCGGTAGTTAATGAGTAACTGTCATTTTGGCAGCATAATCAGCTTTTTAGTGCATTCCTTCAAGTGCTCTACATGTTAATAAGAATGCACATTGCTGACTGAGAATGTCTGAGTGCCAATTTGTGGTCCATGGTCTTCAACGGTATGAAGCGGGTGTGTCTAAATCTCTATATTTATCATTCCTGGAACATGAAACCTTACCATCAGTCTGTCATCACGGTAGCTCTACCCTTAGCATCTACTGTAGCCTGTACCATGTTTGTGATTCTTTGAATGTGTGCAAAGTGTGAAAGAGACAGAAAGAGTCAGATATATAAACTGGTGTTTAAAGCAATGGTTTGACATTTTGATAATGATGTTGATTAGATAAAAAGACTGATACCATTAGCCATTTCCCATCAGCCTATTTAGGTCACTTAGTATTTAAGTCCCCAGTCAGCATTCATTCCTCAATGGTTTGTCATCCTGCCAATCCATTCTGTTAGTCAGTTCAGCCACTTAACTGTTTTCCTTTGGTCCTGCTGTTCTGAACCTTTGCTTGGTTTTAACATGCTCTTTGCTCTGGACACCGACTCAACTCACTCCTCATCTGGTTTTGTGTACCGAATTGTGAGACTCACCTGTTTGGTCAGTTGTCTTCTCGGATTTCACACTGTGCTATGAACTGCCTGCCCCTGTTCTCTAAATCAGTCATTAGGGTCTTATATAGACAGGTGTGTGGCTTTCCTAATCACGTCCAATCAGTATAATCAAACACAGCTGGACTCAAATGAAGGTGTAGAACCATCTCAGGGATGATCAGAAGAAATGGACAGCACCTAAGTTAAATATGAGTGTCACAGCAAAGGGTCTGAATACTTATGACTGTGATATTTCAGTTTTTCTTTTTTAATAAATCAGCAAAAATGTCAAAAATTATGTGTTTTTCTGTCAATATGGGGTGCTGTGTGTACATTAATGAGGAAAAAATGAACTTAAATGATTTTAGCATATGGCTGCAATATAACAAAGAGTGAAAAATTTAAGGGGGTCTGAATGCTTTCCGTACCCCCTGTATATAGTCCCTAAACCTAAATACAGAAATTATTCTTACCTGTCTGCCTGAGATTTCATAATGATATTAGTGCTATCAATCGAGCAAAGTATTTAATCGCGATTAACCTTGTGATTGTCCATAGTTAATTTGCAATTAATCACACTCCTTTAATCGGTTCTAAACATTGGGGTAAAGTAACTAAGTACATTTAGTCAAATACTGTACTTAAGTACAATTTTGAGGTATCTGTACTTTACAGTAATTGAGTATTTTCTTTTTTTGTTGCTTCATACTTTGACTTCACTATATTTTAGAAGCAAATATTATACTTTTTACTCCACTACATGGTTCTAAATGTACCTTAAAGGGACCCTGAGGTAACTGTGATCAACGAGAGAAGTCCAGTAGTCTCCAATGAGCACAACCGTGAACGCCTCCTCCACTTTAGCTTTCTCGTCTTCACACAAGTTGTGCATCTTGGTTACAGTGAAGCCAATTCATACGTGCAGTCTGTGGATGTGATGCGAGTTATTTCAAGCAGACCCTTGTCCTCCACTGTGTTAATGAGCCTGTAAGCTGTAGCCATCCATTTAGCTATTGCTGACGGGAAGGATGACTCTGCATCAGCTGTGTGCTTGGTCAGCAAGTGGTATTTGAGACTTGTACTCTGGTGGTAACTCAGTTCATGAAAACAGTAAATGCAAATACCTTTGGTCTTGTCCAGAGAATCATCTGGCAGAGCTTTAAAGCTGAGCTTGTCATTCAAAAGACCCTTTTCTTTATCCATTTCTGCTCATTTCTGGTGCTGCATCACGTCTTGATTTCCCAAACTACGGGGTGGGCCGAGGGTCATAATCACAGAATGCACATGCATTGATCATGCATCAAAAAATTTGTGTTAACTTGTTATTATCATATTAACTTTAACAGCCCTAATTGATATATAATTACCTGACTTTAGAACAAACCTGTAAGAGACTGCTTACTAGGGCTGGACCCAATTATTGAACTATTTGGATGTTTGTTCATTGGGCTGGTAATTGGTTTCCAATTTTAGTATTTAAATATTTGGGACAGAAGGAAATTTCTGTGCCATCTGAATTCGATGATGAAAAAAAAAGAGAACACAATGGAGATATTTGTGTCCACTAGCTGGTACTTACTAGGAATGACAGGCATCACAATTGTTGCAGTTTCTTGCAACTTACTTACTTGAAGTTACCAGTAATGTGCTTGAGTTTAATTTACCTAAAGAAACCTGTTAAGCCTGTTAGGTTCCCGAGTAATACTTTCAGCTGCAGTTACTTGTAAAATTCTTAAGTTGTACTTACCTGAAGTAACCTAAGAAGTTCTGAGTTACTTATAGGAGACCATGTGAAGTAATCGTTTCAGTATGAATTTCCTGTGTGCTTGCGTTTGCTCAAGCTTACGTATGTTGATGTATTGCCATCTGCTCATCTCTGGCCATTCAGCTTTGTGTTTCTGTTATCAGCCAATAACAGTCCACCTTTGTTAGTTTTCATCATTTGTTGCTTGCCTGTGCATTGTTCACCTGTTTATCACTTTCACCGCAACCTCCTTGTTCATTGTCTGTAGCTAGGGTCACAGACTACAATCATTACATTTGTAGCAGAAAAGTAATGAAAAAAACTTCACCTAGTGCAGTAAAGTAGGTGAGAACTGATTTTATACAAACAGCTTGTTAGCTGAAAGACTACAACATATGCCACATACAATACTTTAGACTGGGGGTGCGACAGTGGTGCGGAGGGTAGAGCAGTTGTCTCCCAACCAGAAGGTTGAAGTTTCAAATCTTGGTGGCCACAGTCCACGTGTCAAAGTGCCCTTGGGCAAGACACTGAACCCCCCGTTGCCCCCGATGGCTAGAACCGTCGATTGAGATGGCGCCGCAGATGGCTGCCATCGGTTCTGTACCAGAAACAAATTCCTTGTGTGTAACATACTTGGCCAATAAAGGTGATTATCCAATACTTTAAGCACATACTGCTCTGAAAAAGTGTTGCATATCATGCTCCTTCCTCTCCACTTATTTTTGTTTGCCTCTTCATTACCAACTGACCAATAAAGGTGAAAAATACCTAAAATCCTAAGCATTCTTTTGTGCCATATCAACATAAAATCAGTCTTCCAACAGACTCAGAAAAGCTGGCTTTCATTAATTGCAGGAAGACTAATTCACTGTACCTAATATGCTTCACAAACTCTCAGGCTCAGTGGTGTCTGTTGTGTTTTTGTGTGTACATGCATCAGATATTTGGGCAATTGGCTGTATCTTTGCGGAGCTGCTAACATCAGAGCCCATCTTTCACTGTCGCCAAGAAGACATCAAGACCAGTAACCCCTTCCATCATGACCAGCTGGACAGGATATTCAGCGTCATGGGTTTCCCCGCAGGTCTGCACAAAATGCACACAACTACACACTGACAAGGCCACAGCCTGCGTCAGCCTGATTAAAAAGAATCACATTACAAAGTGTAAATTTATTACATTTATTGTAATTACATCACTGCTCATGACCAGTGTCTTTTTAAACTAGTTATATTGAAGTGTTCACATGGTAAAATGGTATTGTTAACATGGTATAGTTAAAAAGAAAAAGAAAAGACTTTAGCAAAAATTATTTGACAGAATAGATATGCAAATGTCATCATTGTCGTTTAGAAATCCATTTGAAGGAACATGTAGTACATCACCTAAGAACAAATAAAATGGGGCCCCACTCTTAAACACACTGGGTCTCATTCAGCAACCTTTCTAAGGAAGAGATTTTTCATAAAACTCACTTATGAAGTTTTCATGAAGATTCCTGCATTCAGCAGTGTTTTCTTAACTGGGATTTGTTCTTAGGTAAGAACAGTCTATGCACACTCAGGAGCACACTTACAAACATTTGAGTGCTGATATGTTTGCATGAAAAAAATGGTTATTTAATTTCCTTCAGTTCTGCACTTAAATAATATAAGATTTAAATTACTGTAACAGTTTTGTTATTGTTAGTATTTCTTTAATACTTTTCCCAATATTTTACAAAGCATTGTGGTCTTTTAAAATGAATAAACACTACATTAAAATTACAGCAAGCAATTAATGGCTTGTTTATAAATAAAGGTTTTAAAATTTATTTAAAGTTTACACTGTGAATATCTGTATCTTAGAATTAGGAAATGCGCCACTTAATGCATCGCTTCTCGGCCTTTTGGCTAAGATCAAGTGCAGTATCTGTTCTTATCAGTTTACACACTTAAGATGGTGCCAACAGCGATGGCACCCTTAGTTACTCGCGCTCTCTTGTGTTTGTTGTTTTTCTTTGTTTTCTCGGTCTTTTGCAACTCATCCCGGATTACTTTTACCAGAGAAGAACTATTAAATATCGGACAACTCACACTGAACTATCTTTCTTCGATTTTTGTGAACGAAGAGTGCTGTATGAACATTCTGATTGGAGGTGCAGCAGCAATATACGGGACCTACGGTGAGGCTACACCAGAGAGAAACACGGACTCCACTACCGTCTATCCACCTAGCAAATCTCCGCACCCTGGTCAACACGATGGATGAAATTCTTCTTGTCAACAGGACTAACTCTGACTTTGCACGCTCTGCTGCTTTGTGCTTCACGGAGACCTGGCTGAGCGACTCAATCACAGACAGCGTGATACAAGTACCGGGTTTCCAGGTGTTTCAATCACGCTGTCTGTGATTGAGTCGCTCTGCTGCTTTGTGCTTCACGGAGACCTGGCTGAGCGACTCAATCACAGACAGCGTGATACAAGTACCGGGTTTCCAGGTGTTCAGAGCGGATCACATAAAGGAGCTGTCCGGGAAAACGAAAGGAGGTGGAATCTGCTTCTACATAAATAAAGGTTGGTGCACAGATGTCACAGTACTACTGAGGACATGTAATACAGACTTAGACTCTTTTTATCAACTGCAAACCCTTCTGTTCTGCCCAGAATTTTCGAGCTTCGTCCTGGTGGGTGTCTATTTAAAGCTGCAGGCCCACACTAGCGCACTACAGCTCCTGGCAGAACAGATAACTAGCGTGGAGGTAGAACATCCCGACTCTCCACTCATTGTTCTAGGGGACTTTAACAGAGCAAATCTCATCCACGAACTGCGCAGCCCTCGACTCTCTGATCACTGTATGGTCCATCTTATTCCAACCTACAGGCAGAAACTTAAAGTTGCGAAGCCTGTAGTCAAAACAGTGAAGAGCTGGACTGGGGAGGCTAAGTCAGAGCTACAGGCCTGCTTTGACTGCACAGACTGAAGTATATTTGAGACTGCAGCTACAGACTTGGACGAACTCACTGACACTCTGAGCCCTTGGCTCCAAACATAATTTCATTGTATGTGCCACAATGTTACAATGACAATAAAATAAAGCTTCTTCTACTTCTTCTTTCTGACAGACAGGAAGTAGCAGGTGAGGTTGGGGAAAACCACATCCAGCACCTGGACAATAAGCACAGGTGCCCCCCAGGGATGTGTGCTCTCCCCTCTGCTGTTTTTACTCTACACCAATGACTGCATCTCGAAGAACCCCTCTGTCAAGCTCCTAAAGTTTGCTGATGATACAATGGTCATTGGTCTCATCCAAGACGATGACAAGTCAGCCTACAGACGGGAGGTTGAGCAGCTGGTCCTGTGGTGTAGCTGCAACAACCTGGAGCTGAACACGCTCAAAACAGTGGAGATGACAGTGGACTTCAGGAAGTGCCCCCCACCTTACCCCCACCTCACCATACTTGGCAGCACTGTTTGAGCAGTAAAGTCCGTTATGTTCCTGGGCTCCACCATCTCCCAGGACCTGAAGTGGGCGTCCAACATCAGGACTATCACCAAGAAGGCACAGCAAAGGATGTACTTCCTGTGCCAGCTCAGGAAGTTCGACCTGCCCCAGGAGCTGCTGATACAGTTCTACAGAGGAATCATCGAGTCTGTTCTCTGCACCTCCATCACTGTCTGGTTTGACTCAGCAACCAAGCAGGACAAGTACAGACTTCAGCGGACAGTGAGGACTGCAGAAAAGGTCATTGGTGTGAACCTGCCCTCCATGGAGGACCTGTACACCTCACGGGTCAAAAGGAGGGTGGAAAAGATTTCTGCAGACCCCTCACACCCGGGACATAATCTGATCGAACTCCTCCCCTCTGGACGGCGTTACAGGTCACTGTGCACCAAGACAACCAGGCACAGGGACAGTTTCTTCCCCCAGGCCATC